GTGGCAAGGGCATTGTAATTTTCAATACGTCTCTTCTAAATCCTTCGCAAAGTATATGACCAAGTATATTACCAAACAGAAAACTTCTGATCTATTTAAGCTAACTGAACATAACATCTACCATTCTCATATCTTGGCCAAACATCTTGGTGGGATGGAATTGATGATTCTCTTGATTGGATACTCTATTTGTTGTTCCACTATTGCTACAAATTATTTATCAACTACACTACCCAATATATAATCAAAATTTGTAAAGCCAATTTACTTATTAAATGGTGAAAATTCTAATCCATACTGGGCAGACGCTATTGACAAGTATTTTCTCTGGCCAATCGATTTGTACTTTGATAATATTATATATCCATATTATCATCAAAATTATAAAATAATACCAAATTGTCCAAATTCAAATATTAACTATTAGATAGATCAGCAGGGTAAATTTGTAATTAAAAGAAAAAAGGCAATTCTGATATAATTTCAATTTTTTTCAGTAGAAGACAGAGAATCTTTTTTTATCAATAACTTCTATTTAATTTATCTTATAGAAATGAAAGTGAATTATTAGGTTCATATTCGAGCTATCGAGACCATTTTTGTTCGAGATTTCCTGTGCAATTCGATCAAATTGTACAAAATATTAATCAGAGTACATCAGCGAGGTTTACTAGATTTTCTCATAATTACTAGCTGCAAATAGATAAAATAATACATAGTATGCAACGGGATATTGCGATTATTATACGTAATCAACTTAATACTTTAATATGTTCTCAACTCTTAATTTTTCAATATTCGTTACTAGAAACGCAAACTGATCAATATGCAGCATTCAATGTATTAACTTCAGCATGGAGACATGTAGATGAACATAGTTATCCGTATTTTTTCTTAACTGGCTCAGCAGGAACCAGAAAATCATATTTAATAACTTTGATCATAAATTACCTCCTATCACATTGTAAAAAGTATTTATTAATAGCTCCAACAGGTGTGGCTACCCAAAATATCAATAGTAAGATGATTTATTCGCAACTAAAAATATGCTCATCTAATAGTAATCATGTGAGTTTAGCCCTAAATGACCAGGAATACCGTCAACTTCTTTGAGAAACTGAAGTTATTATAATTGACGAAATATCTATGGTATCTGCTAGTTTACTAACATTTATTAGTAATCTCTTTGCTCGTCTGCACAATAATACTTTGCCATTTGGTGGAATCAAAGTCTTACTAATTGGTGATTTTGCACAACTGCTACCTGTAAATGGTGCCCAAATATTTTGATCTCCCATTTGGTCTGAATTTTTTCCCATATTTTTAATGACTCCTCGCAGACAAAATGAGGATATGATGTTTTACAGTGTGTTAAATAAAATTCAAATCAGAACTGTATCAACTAATATATTACAAACAGTTGATGATAAAATAAAAACACCATTATCACTTTCTCCTACTGATACTATGCACTTAGTTGGATTTCGTGCCATGGCAAACAATATAAATAAGTTGGCTTGTCTAACCTTACTTCGAGAACCAGAAGATTCTGACCCTGTCATTTCAACTGCTGTTGACTATATTAATAGTCAAGAATAGGATGCAATAGATAATGATCGTAATATTTGCCAACATACAAATCTACCTGCAACTTTAATTTTGCAAAAAGGTGTTTGTTTCATGTATCTTGATAATGACTTATTTGTGCATAGTCTTTATAATGGATCTATTGGAATTATCATCAAATTAATCAATAAAGACACTATCAATATCGTATTTCCTGCACCACTAAGAATGATTACTGCAACTGTAAAAAGAATAACTAAACATTTTCTTT